AACAGAAGACTCCACCTTGGTGTCTCACAGGCAGCTTGGGAACAACTCTCTCTCTGTGTGTGTTCAGATTTTCTTTACATGCAGGTGCCATTCCTCTGGATGCTACAGCATCAACATCAGTGACCAGATGAATGAAGAGTCTGATCCTATCAATACAAGAAAAGAAGAAGAAAAGAAAACAAAAACAAAACCCAAAACATCTCCTGTTCAACGGGAGGAGTCAGCTACAGGAGGATCACTGATAATTTTGGATGACAGGCAATGAAAGGCTTGACACTCAATGCTAAATGAACTAACAGTGGCAGGACTGTGGAGAGATTTAATTATGACAATGTAATGTATCTATTCCCAAGAGAGGTTCTTGAAAATTTCCTTTTGAGTAACTGATTTAAATGTTTTCTTTGACTTAAGAATATTTAAGATTACTTTTCTTTGGGAACTGTTTCAAGTTATTGATAGTGGATTAAACAACAACTTTGCAACACTTTTTCTCTCCACACTGCTGAACTCCTTTAGTCTGTGTAGCATCGTAAGGCCTTCTGCCCAATTTCGGCAATAAAATGCTGCATTTTCATCAAAAGATCTCTAGAAGAAGACAAAATTTCCATTGAAAGCATTGAAGAGGCACAAAGAGAAATCTGTAACAGCAATTACTGTCATCATCATAATTTTTAACCATGTATCCTGTTTTGCTCTTTCTCATTTATTAATAAATCATTATCATGGCTAAAGCATGGCCAATAACCTGCTGTGTTTAAAACAGCAGGAGTTACAGACTTGAGCTTGCAGTCATGACAGACTGTAAGCATCACCCTGCTTTGGCAGATTGTGTTTTGGACGTTAAAATTAGACAGTAGCTCAAAACATCCCTTTTCACCCTGCCAAAGCCACGTAATGAAGGTGTAAGCTGACGGGAAACAGATAAGCCTATGCACTAAAACCTAAAACAGCTCTCAGGAAAGAAACAAAGCAAAGGCCAACTAGGAATAACTGCCTTGTCCCAGAGAAGCATGTAATAAGAGAAGTCTTTTGAAATGGACCTAGAAACTGTTGTGGTTTTAGTTTTACTAAAGCAACTACTTCTGTTTCCTTCTTCCTACACTCAAATTTGGATTTGCTTTGCACGTTCTTCAGCTGCAAGAGAACTCCTTTAAAATTCACATAGGACACCTGTACCCCAAACCCCGTGTAGAGCTGAGGAAAATGAAAACTCAGCAAGACAGAAGGTTTCTTGGAAATCTCAGTTTCATTAATTTGCTGCTACGGTTGTTAAGACCGTGCTGGTAACAACATAGACAAGATGACTACTAGAAGCAGAGGAGAAAAAAGAGCAGTGACGAAGGACTCCTTCCATGTGACAAGCTGTAATGCAAGTGTTTAGCTATTCATTTTTTTCCTGTAAAACATACTTCTGGGCTTGAGCTGTCCCAGTTAGATGGGAAAATCTAATACATTGCAGAGGTATAAGGAGAAAAAAAGTAAACACTACTCACAGGTCAGATACCTTAACACGGCCAAAGGGAAATGAGGGCAACAAGGGGAAGTAAGCCAACACTTTTCTCTTCAGAAGTAGCTCTTATTTCAGCATGTCAAAGCATCAGCCCATTTCAAAACAAATCTATCTGTTCAGATTTTAAGGATGGAGCTTTTTCTCCAATTTTGCTGCTTTCTAACTTCCTTGAATTGTTTGCTTTCTGAAATAGGCTTCAGTGAAGTGCAGGTACATGCATTTAAGCAGACGTCAGCTACTTCGTGTGCAGTTCGACAACCACGCATCATTCTACGTTCCCACCTCTGCTTTTTAACTCCCAATCACTTTTTTTCAGAGATGTTTACGAAAGCGCTGCTATGTGCAGGTACCGCTTGTGGCCAATACAAACAGTAAGAGATGCAGCTCTTTTTTACAGGTGATTGTGTGAATTAACAGATCTCACTTTAAAAAAAGTGGAAGTTTTAACAAATGCTTGGGGAACATATTGTGCTTATTAATTTTACGTGAAAAGCTAGAATTTCTTTCCTAGCCTGGGCAGTAGTAGATAGCCTTCATCTTCTCTGTCTATATTCCTGCCTATCAGAGAGATTGCAGTATAGTGCAGGGTAGGGCGCAGTGCAGGAAAGGCCAACTTCTGAAAGACAATCAGTTGTTTCCATGCCAGACTTTTTTTCCCTACTTCAGAGCTCTGTGACATCAACAGCCCTCATGGGCCCAGCAGAGTCCACACTCAGCCCTAACATCACTGCATCAAGAGTTAGCAAGCATTTTTTTAAAGAACAGGAAAAAAAATAGAGTTGCTGCAAGAGAAGTTCAAGCCCATTGTCAGAATGGACTGCATCTCTTCTTAGAAAAATCCTTTGACAATAAGAAAGGAAGCATCAGCAGTTGGGCAGCAGTCCCCTCTTCAACATGGTGCTACTGAAACCCTCAAGACAAGCAATAATCAACTCTCTCAATGAAAGAAACATTTGCTTGAGTCAGCCGTTAAACCACCTTCACCAACACGAAAAGTTTAAACACACAAGAACTCTACACAATGCCTGCCTATTTGTGTGCCTTAAATTTACCTTCCTGACTTACTTCTGTTGGGCCGCTTTCCTGGAGGGTTATGAAGCTAAAACACCTGAAGGAACGGCCCAACAAGCACAGCAGCCAGAGCTTAAGGTGGAGGGAGATGGAGATCTTTGACCAGGGTGGAAGGAAAG